ATATAAAATTCTACTGTTGCATTTGTTTCCTGGTTCTTTATTCGCGCTGGAGTGACTAAAGACAAATTCCTACAGCTGGTCATAAGAGAAATGCGGTCGGCCCCTCCATCGCTTAGCTTATGAAATATACGATGGAGAAAAAAAAGTTTTTTTACTCTGATATATAATCACAAACTACAGGATATACTATATACTGACTGGACAGAACATCAGTACCAGTAATATCTACACAGTTCAGCCTAGTATTAGTAAAGGTAATTTTACTGTTGTCTATTACATTTACCTCTCACAATGTTATCCTAACATAATAACAATATTAATAAAAAAATTGTTGGAACAGCAAATTTGTCTTCATGTGATGGAAAGGGGCTTCTACTGTAAACACATTAGCAAAAACCTATAATGAAAAGTTCCCAGACTGCTTTTAGCAGGGGTGCCCAAACATTTTCCCCAAGCGGGCCAAAATGAAAATCTATCCAGGGCTGTGGGCCAAATGCTGTAATATAAATTATAATACATGAAATACAAATACTTTTTAAAGTCCTTTATTTTTAACGATTAAGCTATGCAATGGCCCTCTTTTGTTTTAGTCTGTGCACGAAAGTCTACCATACGCTCAAATAGCAAAGGCTCATGGGACATTTCATAAATTGATAAAATATGAGTTTTGCAATATGAGTGTACAAATCTACATGTGGGGTTAAATCTGGTCTAAATATTTCTTGTCATTTCGTGTTTCATGTTTAATCCCTAATAAATCAAAGATAAAGTCAACATTATATAGTCATTTGTCCAATGGAAACACTGTGTTTCTACCTATAGGATAACAGGTTACAACCTTGCAACTTTGGCAACTGTTGGTGGGCCAAATCAAATGGCTTGGTGGGCTTGGCCTGCGGGCCCCACTTTGGGCTCCTCTGGCTTATAGATTTCTTTTGAGCAAATATTTTTTTTTACATATCACATCAGCAATTTTCTCAGCTTTAATTTAAGCCATATTTGATAGAAATCGGATAAGAAATGAGGGTGCTAYGAATATTTTTGTGACAGATTGATGTGCATCCTGCATTGAAACTCTACCGTTTCGTTGACATGACTCAATGCATAGCAATGGCTCCTACGATGGCGCACGATAAGTCACGTGATGTCCAATCCAGTAATATAGATCAATGGCATCGCCAGCTGCAAGAAGGCGCCAGAAAACCGAAGACGCTCCTCTGGCTAAATGCCTGTTCACAGGGCTGTCACACTACAGAGGCTACGAGACCAAGACAAAGAAAACAAACAAGCAGGCAAATGAAAATGATCATCCTCATTTTAATTTATCAACATAATTTAGCGAATTGATTTATTGCTTATGGCGACAGGCCTAGATAAAACTAAAGCGAAAGAGCGGGGGAAAACAAAACATTTCTAACAAAATAAGTTTCCCACAGAAGCTACAGGATTAATGAGGTTAATCAGTGAAGACCCAACCAGTTTAGTTATTTTTCCTTCTCATGGAGTGGCTACATTTGTAGGACTGGCCACAAAAACAGACAACAAAAAAAATTAGTCAGCAGCTGCCCAGTTCCTGGTCTGAATCGGGGGTAAAAATAAAAAAAGGGCTATTCAGTCCCCATCTTCTCCCTCTTTAAATGTGCAATGAAGGCGGTAGATGGTGGAAGTGTGACACCAGTGTGCAGGAGGGCCCACTTTCCTCCAGAGAGAACCGACACCACAACAGGTCCTAATAAATCAGAGGCGTCTCTTTACGACACTTTTTTTTTAAAGGAAGGGACCTAAGATGTTGCTGACTGTAGCTTGTTGTTATGAGACCTAAAGAGACAGGCAAAAAGAGGAGGAAGAAAACAGTTGGAAAACAATTTCGTTGTTTCTTTTTTTTTTATTAAAAGCTTTACAATATATGACAAAAATATAACTAATGGAAACATACAAAAAAAAAAAAAAAAAACAAGTATCGGATGCCAGTGGGTCAGACATTTTGATGCAGACAAAGCAGCCATGTTGGTTAAATGTCACTGAAATGGGATGTCGGTCCAACAACATTTATACAACTTTTTATTTATTTTTAAACATGTTTCGAACCCGGAGGCAGACAAGCTTATCGCATTTGGAACAGGAAACAGGAAAGCTAGACTAGATTTTTACTCCAATCTATGTTTACATTTTCTATCATTATTTTCTTCTGAACATAAGAATAGTCCTTCACAAAAAAATAGAATATGAACATAACATTATACATACGTACAAGAAAAAAAAACGTTCAAAGCTTTTTATTTTAATTTTTTTGTTAAACTGAGGTAAATATGTTAGCAAGAAAGTTCTGTCAAATTAGAATATAAATTATGTGTCGATAAAGCCTAAATCTGAGTTTACAACCAAAATCGACAGCGTTTGTTTGTTTTTGTTTTCCTGAAAACCACAGCTACAGAAAAGGAACGACAAGCTATGCAAAACTTTGCTTCACTTCATATCCAACCTGCACTAAATTCAAACGTCAGCTAGTGTGAGAGTGTAAAAAAATACATTTTTCCTTGAATCATTTTTGCTACCAACATGGCTGCAATTATAAAACAGTAGAAACTTTTTTTGTCCTTTTGTTTGGTTTTAAAATAATAATAATAATAATATTAATAAAAAATCCTCACACCTAATGTGCGGCCTATTATATGCACTTTATTACAAAGTTTTTGATGCTGTTTTAAACAAGTAAAAACAGCCACCAACATCCAGGGATAGAAAATTAAGTTTTGTTTTAAGAGTGACCCCGGCACCCTGGAGTTTGACATCACAATCTGCAAGAGAGAGGAAAAAAAAAAAGAAGAGTGGACGGGAGTCAATACTGTTTAAATCACAGAGAAGCTGGAGGAAAGACATGACATTTCTAATGTTACTGATGTAATGAGACATGAAAATGCAACATTAAATATAAACCATCACATCAAACTCAGGATCAAAAGAGATTTGGTCAAAGTAAATCAAGCAAGTTTTGAGATTCCCGGCTTTCTGAGCTACATTTTGATACCTGGATCATCCTGATATCGTGAGGAGTTCCAGAGATAGGGTTTCATTAGTCTTGCTTATCTGGATGTCCCCTGGAAAATCTGTCTAAATCTTGTTTTTCTTTTGAGTATTCCAATAAAGATGTATTGAGTGTTGACAGCATTTGAATGAGGAAAGCTCAAACCATATTTGGATATTTGGATTTCCCAGTTGGTAATGAAAGCAGCTTTGCTAACATACAGGGAAAGTGGCAGTAATTGACGAGTTTACTGCTCAAAATCATTGTTGGTACTGCTCAGAAAAGTGACGGGTTCTGCTTTAATGAAACGTTTCGTCTCTCCTCCAAGAGACTCCTTCAGTCTGAGGAGTTTCAGGTGAACTCCACATGGTGGATAAACAATTTTCATGATGATAATCAAATCAGTTGTTCCCATGCAAAAGGGGACCCTCAGCCTAACAATTCATCATTAATGCTCTTATTAGCTCTTCTGTTCATACAGGGTCATGTGCTCCATCACCTGACTATTGTTGGGACCCAGATTCACAGCTTTTGCTCACAGGGGGCTGAGTCATACTTGCAATAACAGTGTTGTAGGAAAAGGACAACTGGACACGAAGGCCTCCACCTCTGTTTAATGATGGACGGTCTTTCTTCACAAAGATGGCTTCTTTTACTCCTCTCTCAAACCAACGTTCCTCTCTATCAAGGATGAGAACATCTTCATCTCTGAAAGAGTGACCGCTGGCCTGTAGATGAGTGAAAACTGCAGAGTCCTGACCCGATGATGTAGCTCTTCTGTGCTGGCTCATTCTTTTGAACAGTGGCTGTTTTGTTTCCCCAATGTATAACTGATCACAGTCCTACTGACACTTAGCATCCACAACATTGCTCTGTTTGTGTCAGGGGACCGGATCTTTGGGGTGAACCAGTTTTTGCTCTAATGTGTTTCCGGGTTTGAAAGCCACTGGGACGTCATGTTTATCCTAACTGGGCTTTCCTGAAAGCAGACAAGAAACCCAAACAGGATTCTAGCCGAGAACCAGGTGTAAATGAAGACCCTAAACCCAGACCCAAACCAGTCGTCATTCCATATGTGGCGGGAGTTTCAGAGAAACTGAGACGTTTATTCTCTAAACATGACGTCCCAGTGGCTTTCAAACCCCAAAACACGTTACGACAAAGACTGGTTCACCCCAAAGATCACACTGCCTGCAGCTCTGCGCCGGTGTGAAGCATGGAGGTGCTCTATGAAGCATGTGCAGGAAATGCAAGATCATGAAATAAAGGCAGTGATGAATGTGGAAGTCAAACCAAATCAATTAATTCTGTGGAAGACAGACTGGAAACAACAGTTGAATCTGCATCGCTGTTGTTTTTCTTTAGTCCATTCAGAATAAAATCCACATATTATGTATGCATATACTGCACGCTACATGTTGCTATCTGCTTCCCAAACTGAATGATAAATTTTGACAGCATGTATATCATAAATACAACCATATATTTATTAATATAGCTAGGATAGTGACAAAATATTGCCTGCCTTTGATGATTTTTTTAAAAAATACGAATGTTGTGCTCGTTCCTTTTCTTGTTGGTGCGGTGTGATCTTTGTAGATTGACTCGGTACTTGCTCTGCCGTTTGGCTAAAACAGGACTGAATCTAATTTTGGCGGATGGTCATGCGCACGCCATCGCCCTGCGGATGCGGTGTAAATGCTCTCATTGACAATAATAGGCGTGTTTTTACTGCCGAGGTCAGAGCAGAGCGGACACAACGTGAATCGGGGTTAAGAAGAAAGGCGGCTGAAGTGATGCACCTATCCTGCTTGGTGCCTACTAGGGGCAGGATATGATCTGAGATCTACGTGATCTGGTCTAGGTTCAGCAATGGTATGAAGTCAGCTGACTACCTGAATATACTGATTGATTCCATCAATGGTTTTTTTCTTCCCTGGTGGCACAAGCATGTTCCAAGATGACAGTGCCAGGATTTGTTGGGCTCAAAGAGTGAAAGAGTGGTTCAGGAACCATGGGTTGAGCCCCACAGGGTCCAGACCTGAACCCCATTAAGAATCTTTGGGATGTGCAGTGGTACGAATCTCCTGACATCAATATAAGAGCTTGGTGAAAAATTAAAACTCTGGACCAGGGGTGCCCAAATATTTTCTCTGAGAGGGCCAAAATTATGATCAATCTGAGGGCCGTGGGCCAAATGCAATAATATAAAAAATGTAAATACATCTTAAGTAAAGTTGTTTTATTTTTTTTATGATTAAGCTAGTAGCCAGTATGGTGGCTGACATTATATTTCTTTTTTTTCAGCCCATACACATGGAGAAAATTATTTTCGGGCAGCAAAGGCTCATGGGACTTTTCATAACTTAAAATTTGAGTATTTGGGGTCTTATAAGGTGTGCAACTTTACATATGGGCTTAAATCTAATCTAAATGTCTCTTGTAGTTACTTGTATTTTATATTTAATCTTAACATAATTACAATCTAGTAACCAGGACAACTGCTGGTGGGCCAAATCAAATGGCTTGGTGGGCCAATTTTGGCCCACGGGCCAAACTTTGGGCACCTCTACCCTGGACAGAAAGAAATGTGATATTGCAGAAGCTTGTGAAAACATTGTCACAGTGAATGTGTGACATAATCGAAACTAAAGGTGATCCAAACAAATATTAGTGAGTTTTTGATCAGGCTGTATTTTGGACATTTCCGTCACTGGACCAATACATAAAGTATTCATCCTATTCTGACAAAACCCAATTATTGCTAGTTTTTTTCCTACAAACTGCCAATTATACAACTAAACAACTTGTCACTTAATCCTGATTTGATGTGATGGGTCACAAATGTGCTGAAAGAATTAAAGCACAGCAAAACAAACAAAAAGACAGCATCGATAATGTTACTGAATGAAAAAAGTTATACATTTATAGATGAAAGTCAAATTTCTTCTTGTGTAAACAAATGGGGAAACATGTTTCATATTTTTAATTAAAAATACAGATGCTTTTTTAATAGTTTTTTTTATTGTTTTGTACCACTTAAAACTATAGGCACTAAGAGAAAACCGGCCAGGGTATTTAATAAATGGTAAAAATGGTAGCAGGTTGTTATAAGTAAAAATGAGAGAAATAGTCCTGTAAAAACAGGCAAAGTGGATGACTTTACGGAAATGTACAGAAACGGGACATTAAAGTGGGAATCTTTGGAATTCTAAATTATAAATCGTTTCAAGAGAATTATGGAAATTTATTAGAAATTTGGGGTAATGTAAATGAAATGGTTCATATTGAAACAAAATTATAAATATCTTGCTTTGCCACAAGCATATGATGTTTAATTTATGAAATTAACAAATCTAATGGCCTAATCTGTGGATGATGTCATTGATTACCAAAAATGGTAAAGACTTATGTAGCACCTTTTTAGCCAACCAGAATACTCAAAGCTCTTTACAACATAATCTATGCCCTCATTTAACCCTCCACACATTCATCCAGCTCTTTACTATGTCTTTACAAAGTTAATCTGAATAAATCATCCTATAAAGACCAATCAGATATTTAGATCTTATTCATACATCAATGGGTCACAATTATCAGGCTACTTTTTCCTTTTCTCTTATTCAGGATATCAAGATGTGTCCCCCTTTTTATTTTTATTTTATTCATCAGCTGTTCAGTGTTTAAAATCACCAACATCTTACCTGCTGGCTTTGAAGCCTTTGAGCTTCTGGACAAAGAAGTTCTCCAGAACCTCGGCACACTGGTAAAAGGGCGAGTCGCTGGGATTGTAGTATCGGCAGTTGTCGAAGATTTTGGTCATGTCTGCTACAAATTCTGTCAGCTTGATGTACTCCCGTTTGTGTAACCTCTCCTCCATGGTGGACAAGTCTGAGAGGAGAGATTGGAATCGTGCATTCAGGACGTTGGACTGCATACTTTTGTCAGAAAAAAAAAAAAAAACAGTGAGGATGCACAGGACACAGTTTGGGGTTTTCTGAAAATCGGTGAGCTCGCTTTGAAATTCTCCCAGTTTATGTGGCGTCCGCTGGACAGAGAGAGAAAATACTGCATCACTTTAAAAGTGACAGCAAAAATCCAGAACCTCTGCCAGAGTTAACCTCGACCTTCTCACACTTCCAGACAAGTTACTGAGATGTGACCTATTTATCATTCCTGAGGAGAGCATCACTGCTCCACAGGAATGCTTGAAAAACACAGCAAATATCAGAGCCTCCACTTCCACGTTTCCCCTGAAAAGCAGTTTTCAGTGGCAGCAGCCTTGTTAAATCAAATTAAAGACACCGAATAAATAAATAAATAAATAAATAATACAAGTGCATTAGTGAGGAAGCTGGCTGGCAGCTTCTGTTGCTCTGCACAGCTTTCCCAGGCAAACATATCCGACTCTTATCCTCTTTAGCGCCCCACCCAACTTGCTAACAAACCTCACGGTCAGTATCAAAGACCTCCTTCTTCTCCGTCATCAGATCTCATCTAAGAACCCTCCATAAACGACCAACGGCCGCAGCCACATCAGCCAAATGCTTCCTTTTATTTTCATTTTTTTTATTTTTCCTACAAACCAACAGGGTCCTGTTTTTTGTATGGTGGGGGGGTTTGAAGGACTGGAGTTTCCAGAATCGGGCCAACATGTAGCGAAGTGTGGGGCAGGTTTTCTTTCCACCGGCGGGGCCCCAAGCAGCTCATTAACGGCTTGTTTGTATGGAAGTTCAAAAAGGCCCTGTTGACGCAAGTCACCATTTACATGGTCGGTTTGATCTGAGTCGGAGGGCTTCCTCCCAGTTGGCCTTCTGTGCTTTAGTGTTTAAGATAGAAAGTGTTGGAATTACTTCAAAAGTTAGAGCAATTATGAAATGAAAACAGTTTTCCCCGAATGGAAAACTCCCAATTTAATCGAAAATATAACCTAATACCGTTTACTTCATAACGGATAACAACTAAATCACCAAAACAAAAAGTGTGCTGGCTTATTAAACAAGTAAATAAAACGTATTAATGAATAGATGTATATTAACAATTAAGAAGAAAATTCATGATGTACAGTTCAACCTTTACTGTAATGGGAGTCCAAACATTAAGATCACACAATAAGAATTTAAAGTCACATCATTGTGACGTGTCTCACCCATTGGTTCCTTGATTACCCTGTAATAATCAGGGGCGTCATTCGTATCCACTGGCTCCAGGAATGGCCATGCCATTTTATGTGCCTGCAGAAGGAGTGAGGGACAAAACGGGAGGAAAAAAAAAATGAAACAAATTCTTGAGAAAGTTGAAACCAAAGAAAAACAAACAGCGCCATGAAAATTACACTGAAAGCAGGTGGGTCAACACAGATGTTCGGTTCTAGTGCCCCTCCCAGTTTCACTCTCACACAGACCGCTGGACAAAGGAGGAGAATGAGAAGAAGAGAGGGAAGTTAGCAGTGAAGAAAGGAAAACACTTGGGTTAGGCGGATGTCCAAGGGGGAAAAGGCCGACACATCAGATAAGACGGACACAGAAGGCTTTTGTTTGCTGCTCTTGCACCGAGCCGAGGGTTTTAAGAAGCAGCGTTTATAGTGTCGGGCCGACCGCAGATGGTGAAGAAGGCTACAGAGCTGCTGTTCCACCTGGCTGGGTGTTTGTTTAGCGTGCGTGCAGGGATGTAGTGGAAAGTAAATCTGCCCCAGAAAACACCTCCCGGTTTGCAGGACTAACTTTGGCACTTGCACCAAATCAGAGCTTCAATGTTGGCGTCTCGCCTCATGAACAACAAACACGTTTATTTGTCAAACACAAGAAGAGTAAGCCTTCTGCTCACCTGCAAGGAACGCAGGATCCTTCGCAGGCCTTCGTGGTCCTTGTCTGTGAGCGGAGTGAAGACCGTCATGGCGTCCTCCGTGGACTGACACTGCGGGCACACGTACTCGTCGATGTGGTTAGCCTCGCTCTGCAGGATTCCCACACAGCGACCGTGGTACCAGTTCTGACACCGATCACAGCCGATGTAAAACCTGTAAAAATAATTTAAAAATTTGACCTAAAGAAAACTAGTAAGGTGCTCGTGTAGAAAAAAGTAATGAAGTGGTGACTCCGTTTTTCATATTAAAGTGGACAAAATCCTTCTTTTTCACAGTTAAATCATTCAGTTGGGGTCTATAAAAGTGGAACTAAAATGCTTTGATCTGAATTCCTACTTATTGTAACTCCACAGGACCCTCCTTTACACCACTGTTCTGAGGTGCGTTTAAGATCAACTCGTTTTATTGCTGTCTCTTTAAATTTAAACAAGGTGCCCACTCCCCCCCCCCCCAGGTCTCACTTCAAATGACCCATCAACGTAGCACCGAGACTAAATTCAACTTTTCTGCACCTACCTGCAGACTCCAAATACGCAACAAAACATATTTAAAAGGGATCCCTGATTAGTTGTAACATTAGACTTTATTTGATAAATACTTATTTTAACTGTAAAATAAAGACTGTAAAAATACTGTAGGCTGTTTAGTTTTGTAAATTTTTAAAAATATATTTTAACACGGATGGAGCCATTTTATTTACACACAAAGCATTCTGGGTAAATGATGACATGGATAGGTCCTCGGTGTGAGCGAGCTATATCCACCCTGAAGGTTAATCTTGGACAATATCTGATGATCGACTCTTTTAAATGAAACCAGAGAGCGTTGACAGAGAGGAGAAGGTAGAAATGACTCAGCCTGTAACTGAAAATATAGATGGAGGACAACAGAGCTGCTTCATGGAAGAAGAACCTCAGCTTAGCCTGTTAACCTTTGTGCTAGCACCAATGCTATATTGCCTTATATGTATTAGCTTGGCGCTAGCGCGACAAACAAACAAGCTAAACTGAGGTCCTCCATCTATATTTTCAGTTTCAGGCTGAGTCATTTTTGTGTTCTTCTCTGTCATGTGGATGGAGGACCTCAGTGACGAGAGGAGAATGTGTAGCGCTGAGCTAATACATATATATAGTGATAGCATCGGGGCTAATGCTAAAGCAGCTCTGTTGTCCTCTTTCAGTTCCAGGCTGAGTCATTTCTACCTTCTCCTCTCTGTCAACGCTCTCTGGTTTCATTTAAAAGAGTCGATCATCAGATATTGTCCAAGATTAACCTTCAGGGTGGATATAGCTCGCTAGCAGCCTCGCACCGAGGACCTATCCATGTCATCATTTACCCAGAATGCATTGCGTGTAAAAAAATGGCCCCGTCCGTGTAATATATTTTTTAAACTTTTTGTTTAAAAATTATAAAAACTGAACATACTACAGTATTTTTACAGTCTTTATTTTACAGTTAAAATATATGTTTATTAAATAAAGTCTGATGTTACAACTAATCGTGGATCCCTTTAAACCACTTTTTTCAGGTTTGTCAGGAATTTTGAAATAAATCGTATGCTACGCTTTTGCTTAAGTTTCCTGAAAATGTTGAAAAAAATTACTTGGATGATTATTTTAGTGGGGGTGTTGTTTTTTTAATTGGATTTTAGATGAACTGGAAACATCTTGATTAGACTACTGTGGTACTACTGGTATAAAAAAAATGAACAGTATTTTAACAACAGTGTTCAGTTCTGCACCATTTATGATTCTCTTTGCCCTTTCAGGTACATTTTTTTAATTTGTTTTTGTCCGTTTCAGACAGAACAAAACTTGCACAGAGAGAAGAAACTCAAAGCGGGGGCACAAACACTCTCCCAGCTCCTTACTGAGACTCATCGTATGGGGTCTGACAGATGCAGTACAGCTCCTCTGTGCTGCTCTCCCGGCCCCGTTTACACTCCACACAGATGTAGTCGTCCATCTTCTTCGCCTCCTTCTCTGTGATGCCCACGCAGTCTCCGTGGTACCAGTTAGTGCAAAGGTCGCAGCCGATATAAAACCTGCACACGGGACCAGAACGATGATGGTAATAAAGCTCTTCAGATTATTATAACAAGTAAAAAGAGCATATACTGTAACGATCTGTATCTGAGAGCTGGGTAGGTTAGGAAACTATACTTGGTCTCGTCGTAGGGCGTCTTGCAGATGCAGTAGAGCTTCGTGTCCTTCTTGCTCTCCTTTGCACTCGTCGTCGAGATCATCTTCTTCTTCTTGGACTTGGCTGCGGTCGCCGTCTCCCTCTCCTCTTCCCGTTTCCTCTTGTGCGTGGTGGAGGAGACGATGGCGGCGAGGTGGTGCTGAGACGAAGCGCCGTGTTTGTGGAACAGAGTTTGCTGTTTGTGGCTGTGGGCTGCAGCAGCTGCTGCCACTTGAGCTGCCTGCAGAGCTGCTGCTTGGGCCTTTTCCTTCTCCCGCCGCATCCGCAGCAGGTCTCTCTTCAACTCCTCCTGAGGACAAATCCGGCAGTCAGAGTTTTTCTTATTAAAAGCTTTTTTTTTAAATAAATAGTACCACCTTTTATTACCTGAGCCTCTAGCTGCAGCTCTTTGTCGAGAAGTGCCCGCTTCTTCAGAATCTCCATCTTGAGGCTCTCTTTGTGTTTGTAGAGGAGCGCCGAGAGCTTGCTAGCGTTAGCCAACCTCCTCTTGGCCTCCACGACCTCTTCCTTCTTTCTCCTCTTGGCCTCCTGCCGCTCATCTTTGTCTATTCGGTCCAGGATGAACTTCATCACTTGGTTGCACACAATCATCCTGAGCAGGAGAAAAAGGAAATTAGTCTTTGTTTTCTATCTTACTCATTTGTTGAAACGTGCACTTTAGTCAAACTTAGGGATGCACCGATATGAACATTTCAGCCGATATTGATATCCAATATAATTATTGCTGTTATGGCCGATAACGAATATTTACCGATATTACACAAACACACAAATTATATTATACATATATGCACAAACACACTTGGGTCTTTGTTTGATACTGTAAAAAAATCAACTAGACCTCTGACATGGCTCCCTTCTTCAAGTATTCCTGGCTGCTCAGTGTCAATTTCACTCTTATGATCAAACAGATGTTGCTCAACCAACCCTCTCCACTCCCAAAACAGAAAAACAAAGATAAAAAGTGGAAAATCAATATCAGACATTAATATCAGCCCAGTTTTACATATTGGACCGATACCAATATTCTAAAAAATGACCAATATCAGCAGATACCAATATTAGTGCAGATATATAGTGCATCCCTAGTCAAACTTGTGTGTTCTTGCTATGAACAGACACAGCAGCAGATCATAAAAACACTTCATACGTTACAATAAAGTTGGGTATACAATACACAGTAATATTCTGTGCCTGTAAAATAAAACGCAACATCTCATCTAAAAGAAACAGCTTCAATAACAAAATCACGAAGAACCCATTTGAAAAACTGGCTTATTAGATATATATTTTATAGGGGTGCAACGATACAGAAAATTCACAATTCGGTTCGACTCTTTAGTCTCACGGTTCGATATTTTTTCGATACAAGAAAGAAAAATGTCCATGCCCTTTTTAACTTGTAATTTATTTAAATTAATTATGAACATTTGTTTAACTTTAAAAGTACAGTTTTTAAATTAAATGTTGCTGAAACAGCAAGTTTCTCAGTGGATCTGTGCTCAAAAATGCAGCCTAGGTGGAGTAGTCGAACACAGATCCACTGATGCTTCAACACAGAGCATCCTCACAAGACAAGTTGATAAAATAAATGTTAAAAATCTGTATTGTTCGATACAAGTGTGTATTGAACCTAAAGCACTGTATTGAATGGTCGATACGGGTACAAGTTTTGTTGCACCCCTAATATTTTAAGATGTTTTTAAGCTGTATAAACACAACAGACTTAATGAGAGAAAATAAACTAATAAAAGGCCCAAGAGGGCAATCATATGTGATGCTAAAATTCAGAACAATCAGGTCACAAACACTGAAACATTAAGACTCTCTGTGTCGATGTACAATAAGATGCTTTTAATTACAAAGTCTTGGCCTTGATTGTGGTTTTGACCTCATATCTCATTCCTATCTGGCTGAAAGTTTGTGCTCCTCCATCAACAAACCATATGAGAGGAAAAAAACTAAACTAAACTAAAGAAAAAAGCAGCAATGGACAATCATTTTTCTACATTATTTTTCTGTTTAATGCTAATAAAACATTTTTTGTTAGGTATTAACGGGTTAAAAGTGCAGATGAATAGAAAATGACGTGCGGAGTTCTTAAACCCGTCATGATTTATACTCCTGCAAATTAAATAAAGGCTAACAAAACGTTAGTGATGAAGATTTGCAGATAAAATCTCCAATTCATAAGAGCGAATGTCGGCGTGGGACAATAAATCCACATTATTTATGGGCCTCTGTTCCCAGTGTGTTCACTTGTGTTTGCTAATATTCACAAATAAGATCGAAAGTCGATGCCATGTTTGAGCGCGCTTTACTGCGAACACACACACACACACACACACACACACACACACACACACACACACACACACACACACACAC